TTGTTGACACGAGTGCCGCCGTATCTGTGATGAGTCAAAAACTCTGCCGTTCGATACGAAAGTAACGACGCCGCCTTCCGACGTATTGCTGAAAACCGTGAGCGCGCAACCTATCGACCAGTCGGAGCATGTACGGCGAGAGTAATCATCAGGACGTCCCTGTACCACATCGAGTTTATCGTGTTGGCCACTTGTTCCCACGACGTGATACTTGGATGGATTTTTTGTCACGCCACCATGCCGTAATTGACTGCGCTTGCGCGCAGGTGGAATTTTCTGTGTTTTTGATGCGCCATCTACCGACAATGAGCCCACTCACCTTGGCAAGCTTCTTGTTCCTTCCGACATAGATGTTCCCCCTCTTAGTGCCGTTGTTGTCCGCGGCAATCGCACTGAATTGTGCGGCTCTACCATTGTGTTCTCCCCATCTGACGTATTCAGTCGCCGCCACGGTACGTCTCTACGCCGTTCTGCCACCCTCACCAAGATTACTTCCGGAATTGTCGTTTGCAATCCTAGCTCATGCCCTCTCCACTTAAGAGCTCAAGAAACACTGTGCTATGTTCTCCTGTTGATGAGAACGTTAATGTGTCTATTGAGTCCCACGACCCTGGGCAGCAACTTCAACTGAACGCTGTTACTCCTCCTTTACGCGGGATGACTACTCCTCGGATATGTTCGATCGTCACATCTACAGCAAGCTTCCTCCGGATTAAATGAACTAGCTAACAACCCTTCTCCATAAATTCCGAGATTCATTTCACCTTCCTCAAAAGGCACTGAGTCAAACTAACACCGTCGCTCACACAATCTACACTAGAACGCACCCTCCTTTGCGGCAACGCCCCTACCACGTAAAACCCAAGGAACGAAGTGTAATTGTAGAGCACGTTGACGATATGCTTCAGCGTGGTGTCATCAAGCCATCTTCGAGCCCTGGTCTTCACCTGTTGTGCTAGTGAAGAAAAAAGACGGTCGATTAGATTTTGTGTCGACTACCGGCGACTGAACAAAATTACACGGAAAGATGTGTACCCTCTTCCCCGCATCGACGACGCAATCGATTGCCTACAAGGTGCAGAATTCTTTTCTTCACTGGACTTACGTTCAGGTTACTGGCAGGTTCCGATGGTAGAGTGTGACGGCCCCAAAACAGCGTTCGTTACGCCGGATGGCCTTTACGAATTCACGGTTATGCCATTCGGTCTGTGCAATGCACCTGCAACGTTTGAACGAATGATGGACAGCATTTTACGCGGCCTTAAATGGCAGATATGCTTATGTTACCTTGATGATGTTATCGTATTTTCTCCTGATTTCCCTACCCACGTCGACCGTCTGCGCACGATTCCTCAGTGCCTTACTAATGCAAACCTGCAGCTTAACCTAAAGAAGTGCCGCTTCGGGGCTCGCCAACTTACTATACTTGGTCACGTTCTGTCAAAACATGGAATTTGCCCCGACCCGGACAAACTTCGAGCCGTAGCCAACTTTCCGAAGCCGACTTCACTCAAAGAATTTAGGAGTTTCATCGGCTTGTGCTCGTATTTTCGCCGTTTCGTCCACAACTTTGCATCAATAATATACCCACTTACGGAAACTACTGAATGGTCCAGCTAATCTTTCTAACTGGACCCCGGCATGTGACGAAGCCTTCCTTACACTGCGCCGCCTGCTTACGTCGCCACCCATTCTACGCCATTACGACTCAAGTGCCCCCACTGAAGTGCACACAGACGCCAGTGGCGTTGGTCTGGGAGCAGTACGCGCGCAACGAAAGCCCGGTATTCCAGAGTACGTTGTCGCATATGCAAGCCGCGCACTCACGAAAGCGGAAATGAACTACTCCGTAACTGAAAAAGAATGCCTCGCAATCGTTTGGGCGTTAAGCAAGTTTCGTCCTTACTTTGCGAACAGAGTTTCGACTTTGTGACAGACCACCACGCACTTTGTTGGTTGGCGTCGCTAAAAGATCCTTCAGGTCGCCTTGGTCGTTGGGCTCTTCGCCTGCAAGAATTCGACATTCATGTCGTCTACCGCTCAGGACAAAAACACTCTGATGCGGACGCCCTCTCACGATCACCAGTGAAATCCAGGGCAGACCTGCATTCGGACGCCAACTTTCCCATCGCTCCCATTTCCGTCTCAAGCATGTCGTCTGAACAGCGGAAAGACCCATGGATAAATCTCTCGTTAACATTCTTTCCGACTCCTCAACGTCTGCGTACCCACGTGCTCTTCGCCGCCAAGCAACACATTTCGAGATACGGGATGCGCAACTACACCGCAGAAACTACTACGCGGATGGTCGTAAATGGCTCTTGGTTATACCATGCCACACGCGATCTGATGTCTGTGCGTATTTTCACGCCGACCCACAACATTATCAAGCTGGTGTGTTAAAAACATATCACCGGATCCGCCAGCATTACTACTGGCGTGGTATGTACACCTTTGGACAAAAATACATTCGGTCCTGTTCATCATGCCAACGACGAAAGACAGTTGCCCATTCGCCCGGATTATTACGGCCTCTACCATGTCCGGCACGTCCTTTCGACCGCGTTGGAATCGATTTACATGGTCCCCTTCCATACACTGCGACTGGAAATCGATGGATCATTGTCGCGGTCGCCCATCTGACGAGGTATGCTAAAACAGGTCCACTACCTACGGCTGTTGCACGTGACGTAGCCGATTTCATCTTGCGACGCTTCGTACTGCGTCATGGGGCACCACGTGAACTACTGAGTGATCGAGGGCGTGCCTTTTATTCAGAAGTTGTACAACAACTCCTTCGGGCATGCCACACGGTGCACCGCACCTCTACAGTCTACCACCCGCAGACAAACGGTCTAAACTGACCGCTTCAACCGAACACTAGGAGACATGCTCGCCATGTATGTCAATTCCGACCAATCGATCTGGGATGTTATTCTTCCATTTGTGACTTATGCGTACAACACCGCGACGCAGTCAACCACAGGCTTCTCGCCTTTCTTTCTTTTATATGGGCGTGAGCCATGCTCCACCCTTGACACCATTTTGCCGTATCGTCCCGACGTTTCAGAATTCAACCCTCTCTCTGATATTGTACACCACGCTGAAGAGTGTCGTCAGTTGGCCCGATCATTCACCTCGGACAAGCAAGTACTCTCAAAAAAGACCGCCACGACCGCGACCAGCAAGTCGAGACTTTTGCCGTGGGCTCGCTCGTCTGGCTCCGACTGCCCTTCCACTACCCAGGTCTGTCGTCTAAGTTTGGCCCCAAGTTTCACGGTCCTCATCGCGTGGTGGAACGTCGATCTCATGTCACATATGTGATCGAGCCGATCACGCCATCTACAGACAGGCGACGCCTTGGTCATGAGACAGTCCACGTGAGTCGTCTCAAGCCCTATCACGAACCACTCTTACTCTCGTCACCTTGACTTGCCAGGATGGCTCGTCTTCGTCGCCGGGGTATTGTAGAGAGGAAGAAGATTATGTGCCGCAGTGGGTCACACCTTTAGCGAAAGGAGCCAAGCGCGAGCGTTTGCCCCGAGTGCTGTGATTCCTGGGTCCATTGCTGCCGCCCGCTTTCCGCATCAATAGACCTGCTGTGCAAGTACTACTTGTGTCAATAAACCCTGTTTCAGTTGCAATAAGCAACCTTTGCTGTTTCACTGTTCAAAATGATTTTAGTCGAGCTTGGCGGAGTTGTATGTCGAATCGCTATCGAGGAACTAGATCGCAATTTTCTTGATCTGCCCTGGTTGCGATCAAATTAAGTTGTTCGTGTGACACCAGTATTGCATCACCTTGTAACGTATTCGGCATTGTGTGACAGGGCTGTACACAAACCATTATTGAATGCATTCCATAATTAACCATTTCTCAGTGTAGTGTGAATTCACCAGACCAGTGCACTTTAAACACGAAATTTCGACGTCTCTATCGCAACGTAAGTCATACACCTTGTTTTACTTGTGCCAGAGGATGTGGATGTACTTGTGCGTGTAGTGTTATGGAAAGCCATCCACGACGACGACAGTGCTGAGCCGGCGGCGAAGTTCTGCACCCGCGTCATCAGGTGAGTGATTAGCGTATGAGAACGACCCGTACTTTTTGAAGGGAATGCTTCAATGGCCCGTCAGATTCGGAAAGTTACCGGCATCTAGCGACGTTGTCCCTCGTCGGCGATCACGTCAGCGTCGTAACTATGGTCAAGTTACGCAATGAATTATCCTGCGATGAGGTCACGATATGTCATCACGGCGTCACAGATCATCAAAAACATGTGACGTCCTCACGAAGTCGATTTCACAGCTTTCACTGTAACTCTGATGCGTGTTCTGCGGAGGCCTAGCAAGCTTTATTCTAAGCCCCTCTATCAATATGATTCGAAACGAATGAGTGCATTGCGACACGACATAGACAAGTGGCACACAGGGCCGGTACTCAACTCTCGGCTGCGCTTCACTGAGCAAATATCAGAAAAAAATCGTAACAGCAAGCAGAAGACGCGAATAACATTCGTTAGCTCATACACGTCTTGCTGAAAATCCTGAAAATTTTACTTTATTGATGGAAATGAGAAAAGACGATCAATTGCAAGATTCGGCTGGTCCGTGCTAGATCACCCAGCTATATATAGAGACTGGGATATTTTGCCTCCGTGTACGTCCCTGGCTTGCGGGATATACCGTTTTCGATCGTCGACTTCTGAGCTGAGCTGAATTCTTATATGCTAGTTTATTACGCTTTCGCCGTAAAGAACAACTTTTATTTACCACCCACTGATTGCAACACCACTTGTTTACTTCTCCGCGCCTTTATTGTTTGGAATAATACCACAGGCTGAGTTGGACGGGGGGTTCGTCGATCAACTCTTGTGGACCTGCCGGAAGTGGGTCAAGCAACACGACGTCCCGGTGCAAAGCTCCACTTTTTGGGCTCCACTGGAGCCGAAGACTCAGAAGAATGCCGGTCAGAAACTGATCGCCTTTGGGAACTTCATGGCCGCGCTTCTGTCGGACGTCCCTGAAAATTCAGGAGCTGCATCGATGGGCTCGCTTTACTGCGGACACATCTTCTCTATGGCGGCGCTTCTGTGTGACTCCTGCAGGCTTGTCATGAACTCGCCTCAGCTGGACTACGAAGCTAAGGTATGCACTCATCATCGTCACCACAACCACCATGGCTTGCTGTGGGGCACGCGCGCTGTAAACCTTTTTGGTGAGCCTAGACAAGTGTGGTTGCGAATCGCCTACGAAGCTGTGATTATTCAGCATCCTACGCTGTAACGAATCACCCAGTAGTCCTTTGTAAAAGGTACTGTGTGCTCCTATGTATTTACAAATGCAGTATAAGCTCGTCAATGAGGGAAACGGGGTACTTTCGACGTGTCCTTTTGTTCCGGCCAGCAAACTCACTGTTTGATTACATGAAACTTGGTAATGCGGGCACATTTAGACGATCCTAGCAGGATGCGGAGCGCAAAACACCGCAAATGTGCGAGTCAAAAGAACTAAAACGGCGTTCACAGGCAACAGAAACAAGGTTGTACAGTGTGGATTGCTTTTTTGATCATGCAGTTGGTGACCACAGTTTCATTGACATCTGAGTTTGTGAGACAGCAGCTTCGTTCTAACTTGATGCACTACGCGCGCCAAGTCGCAAAACTCATGCACGTGGAAGAGATTTGTGATGAAGAGCGTGCAGGTTCGGTCGGCAGGCTGGCATAAAACTCATTTTCCGTATTGTCATGGGTGAGCCGTCAGTTGCCGGCCATTTTTCCCCGTAAGGGGACCATTGTTACATGCGCGTAATGGTGGTAATGGCGGCATGCAGTACGCAATAAGGGAGGCGTGGAGAAAACTTTAGGGCTAAAAAAAAAACAGTGACTTTGGCGCCTTGGCCGCATGCATTGTGAATGCCAGAATGAAGAAAATTTGCTGCTTTCATGCTGCTCGTATACGAAATAAGTGCAGCATTAACGTATCCATGCAGAAAATGAAAGTATATAAAACAGATGTTATCCTTATGGTTTGCTTGTCGCTTTCGATGTTTTTGACATTGAGTGAATTCTGATATTTTTGGCTGGTCCCGCATTATTCGAATGGAAGAAATCTTACATATATTGTTTGTGTTGTGGCTGAGAATCATCATTTAAGGCCCATAGTGACGTGTCCGTAGCGCTCAAGCACCCGTACTGATTGCCGTAGCGCGACTGGCGGTGCAATTGTAGGCTTCTTCGAAGCATTGCTGCATCAGTTAGCATCACTTGTTACCGGTATGTGGTCTTTTCTCCAAGATGTTTCATGCACTAGTGTGGCTATGTGATACAACGGTGAGCTCCGGTTTGTGCTTCGTGTTCCGGGCAGGCTTTTTAACCACGACGCTGTTTAAAAGCGGTGGTAAAACCGTGGGAATCAGTCGTCCGCACTATTTAGCCCACGTGCAAGAGTGAAGCGGGACGAGAGAGAGAGAGCGCGCGGACAAATCCATTAGGGTAACAGGGGAGTCTACTGTAACTAGGGAAGTCACACGAGTGTAGCCGGTCCTCGGCGATCGCATTTCGATGGAGGCGAAACTGTCGAGGCCCGTGTGCTGTACGATGTTAGCGCATTTCAAAGAACACCAGATGGTCCAGATTCCCGCAGCCCTCCATTGCGGCGTCTGTCATAATCATATCGTGGTTCTGGGACTTAGAACTCCAGATAGTATTCGTGTTATTAATGAGTTGAGCCACTAAAGGGTGTTGGTTGAGCACGCTACAGCGAAAGCGTAGCAATGTGGAGCAGGTGAAGGTGGTTGGGGAAGGAGAGCGAAGGTGAAGCTATGACGAGAGTGGAACACGTGGTGTAGAGAGGAGGAGGGAGTAGCAGAGTGGATGACGTTGCCAGCGAAAGAATTCCGCCAATGGTAGAGCGAGTTCATGCACAGGTGACGCTGGGGAAAGAGCAGGAATTGGGCGCCGAGTGATGGCGACCTGATGCCGTCACTCCTGCTGTTTATACGGCCTTCGCGAGGTTGTAAGTTCAAGGCTTATAGCTGTGGGCAACTGTTTATTCAGTCGGACTACCCATTTTTACTGACTAAAAAATAATACGTGACAAAGAAAGTGAGATTCGTTCATACGAATGTGCTAAATTTTCAAAACTCTCACTGCAGGTCGAGTGCCTCCGCAGAGCACTAACTACAGCCGGCGAAGCTGCTGAACGAGGTGCCCCTGCCCGCATGGCAGCGCTGGTGGACTGCTTGCGGGACGCTTTCCTGTCGTCGGATGTTCCCGAGGAAGCTCGCTTGACCCTACTCGAACTTCTAGAGCTGCGTGCTTCAGGCTGGAAACTATCCCTGCAACAGCAGCTTTACTATACCAGCCTCAACGACGCTGCCGAAGACGAATATGGCAATAATCAAAACTTGTCACTTCTTCCATGCCGCGCCGCCGAATGAGACTTTATTACAGTTTGTACTCGGAGACGAAAGCCAACCGTCCAAACGTTTCCCATGGCGCTCAAGGGCAGCCTCTTTTTTTCCCCTTTTAAATAAACTAAGGACTTTTTTTAGAAGCTCATCTGTGGCTTTTTCGTTTCACAATACGTGACTAGCTGTCGTGGCACAGGGGACAAAAGGCGACGTTACGAGCACAGTATCACCGTGGTTACGAGTCACCTGGTTAGGCCTGTAGCCTCACACTGTAAGTTCATCACGCGGCTTAACTGCTTTGAAAGAATAAAATACAAGAGCAGAATGTCAATGCGGAGCACTAGGAAGAAGCTTATACAAAATAGGCAATACAACAATGCTTCGAAAATGTGCTTTTGATAACAAATACGTATCATTTTAAAGAAAAAAAACACAAAAAAGAGCAGTGCTAAAGCATACTCCGATTTTCCATACGGGAGCGTTATTACAGGTTTTCGCACATGAACAGTCACACAAGTGGGTACATATGCATACGTGCGCACATATCAGAGTAAAGGGAATAACTAAGTTCACTCAAGGCGTAATAGCTAAATGTGCTCTAAGAAGTACATATTTGACTTTTTCTGAACGATGACATGGAAGAAGTTAGCATTATCAATGTTAGTACTTGAGGTATAGTAAATGGGGAAGTTGCCATTTTGAAAGTTGCTGACCATAGGTGGTTCTGCCTTTTGGGTTCAAGAAAGTAGAATCTCTCAAGTTGTAGTTGCGACTGTTCTTAGTGTGGGTAGCGAGAAATCGCTAAAAGCCATTTCTGTATTGAATAAATATGAGCTCAGAGAAACGCTGCCTATATACCTCAAGAATACAAAGAATGTGCTCTGTTAAAAGAAAAGGAAGGTACGTGTTTGTGCTATTTCCTGTTACGAATGAAACGAAGAGATATTTCTGCATGATATGCACAGGTTATTGAGATTCAGATAGTAGTATATTAAGATTATAAATTAAAACAAAGTATGATTGACGTGCTATTGACGAGTTATAAGGTCCGATATATGTTTAGCATACCTACTGAATTGGCTAGGTTATCAATAAATTTTACATTTGTTGTCCAGTGACCTGCATATTTCTATTCCTAACAAAATTCGTGCTCCCTTAAGCAAAATGTCGAACGGACTAGCCCAACACACCTGACCACATTGTCAATCCTAAGTTTCCGCGTAATTTCACTCTGCGAAAATTATGATAAATTTGTTTCTGTACCTGCGTCCTAAATAAATTAGAGGTGAAAAAGGAAGTGCCTCATTTTTTCGACAAGTAGAGTCATGGAGAGCCTAATCTAAAACGAAGTAACTGCACACGGAATACTGGATACTGGTGGCGCGGTCCAGAGCAGGAAGCTATGACGAGATAAAGCACGTGATCAAGAGTAGAACACCAACGTATCCAGCAGAAGGGTGAGACTTTCTTTCCACGTCCAATTGCCCCTCTTTTATAATTTTTATTTTATTTTTTGAATGTGCAGGTTCATGCGCTCTATTCAGATAATTGATCGTAGCGCGAAGTAAGGACACGTACAAAAGAAGACACATTCAGAACAACACAACATCATGATTTAACAAACCCGCAAAAACTTGTGACGCCACATGGGTCATCACATGACCTCGTCGTTTGGTTAGCGTGGGCTGATGCCGCAGGCACTGCGAAACCCCATGAGGTTCATAGAGCTAGCATAGATCGTACAGGCTGAATGCAATCACGTATACTGTGACAAACTTTCCGGGCACACGATTACAATCTACTGAGGAGCAAAAAACAAAAAAGAAACATGACTCATCCCCCTTCTAGGAATTGGTGTAACACAAAAGCGAAACGTGTATTCACAGAGGTAGTTGAAAATTTATTCTTCATTGTTTTAGCAACAGCAACAAATTGCAAAATCATGTGAAGAACGGCAAGCAGGTCGAAACTTGCAGCAGAGAGCTGCAACTTTAGAGCTGCATACACAAAACGAGCACGGACTTGCAACTTTCACAGTTTGACAATCAAAGCGCGCTTTTAAACAAAAAAAAGAGGCACGAAACGAGTGCTATCCTGTACACAGGACAAGCGCTAACAATTGTCACAGCTCTTACTTTGTTGCGCATAGAGTTTCCTAAATATTCACTAGAGGGAACTCTGGCTGTATAGCGCCTATGGGAAGTGTACTACATACCGCTTCAGCGAGCGCGGGAATAATGGGTGTAACATGGATTTGCCCAGTCTTCGTACTTTACTTTCGTTGCGGCTTCACGTGGCTTGAAGCTGCTTTGTCACGTAATAACAAGTGACAAATGCTTGACATTTGCGCTTCTACACCTTAATAATTTAGGCTTACCACTTCAAATCGGGTCACGTGGTGAAAAACGGGTTGTTCTTTCCTTCCAAACAAAACCAAAAGTAGCAATGAATAAATCCACAAGTTACGTTACTAGATCTTGTTGGCCAGCAGTGTGTTCGCTGCGCGCAAACACGAAGACTAGGCAAATCCATGTCATACCCATAAATTTTGAGGTCGCTGAACGACCGCAGCGCTAGTGTACCCTCTAGTTAAGTTTACAAAACTTTATGTCGTCATGGGTGAGCAGCGCACTGGCGCGTTCTTTTCGTAAACGCGGCAGTGGGAGCAAGCGAATTGGCCTTGTTCCTCCCCGAATAGACTGCCAAACGCTGTGGACTGCCAAACGAAGGACTGCCAAACGCTGTGTGGTGCATATAAATGGTTTGCCCTTAGCTGCCTCACCAACGTACGCACCGCGACATAGAAGATAGAGACGCACGCTGCCACTCCCACCCACCCACCCACCTACTACCCGTCCGTCCGTCCATCCGTCCGTCCGTCCGTCCATCCATCCATCCATCCATCCATCCATCCATCCATCCATCCATCCATCCATAAATCCATCCGTCCATCCATCCATCCATCCATCCATCCATCCATCCACCCACCCACCCACCCATCTATCTATCTATCTATCTATCTATCTATCTATCTATCTATCTATCTATCTATCTATCTATCTATCTATCTATCTATCTATCTAAGCTCTCCTGGCCGTTTTGATAATGGTATCGATACCAAACTTGGTATGGCATAACATAGCTGTATGAAGTACAAATTTGACTGGTCATAACATGAAAGTCGTAGATAATAGATAGATAGATAGATAGATAGATAGATAGATAGATAGATAGATAGATAGATAGATAGATAGATAGATAGATAGATAGATAGATAGATAGATAGATAGATAGATAGATAGATAGATAGATAGATAGATAGATAGATAGATAGATAGATAGATAGATAGATAGATAGATAGATAGATAGATAGATAGATAGATAGATAGATAGATAGATTCACTTGCCAGAACGACGGCGAGAGCAAGAGCACACGCAACAGCTCCGCAATATACAAAACCTACACCAGTCTACGCTACTATTGCATCTTCTATTGCAAGTGTGGCAAATTCGGCTAGTTGGTATGACATGGCAATACTATAGCGCGAGAACAGAACGATTAGGCCTTCTTGGTCCTGCTCGTCTTTTGTCGTCGTTCTGTTCTGGCGCTATAACTATCGTCAGGCTACGATTGCGTTGCGAATTACCACGGACGTAAATGACTTCATTTGTGCTGATTTCTTCAGCTTTTACGAAGCAGAATGGTGAGAATTCTGGATATGGGCCGTCGCAAACGTGTTGGTAAGCAAGAGACTCACGTTATCTACAGCAGGCCGTGGAAAAAGTGTAATAATGAACGTGATAGGATGATTCGCCCGATCGTTACCACGGAGAACCATGGTACTTTTGATTATGAATTTTAACAGAGCCTCTGACCACGGTGCGCGCTTTGGAAAAGTAAACAAGTGACGCGGCAATACGCATCGCACATGCCGCGACCACCGATAATCTGAAGTGGTCGCCACTACGCAGCATTACGCATGTGAGGTTTCGAAGACTCTAAGTTTCTGCTTTAACTAGGAAATGTGAACGCGTACGTCACATAGGTAAATAGCAAAATGATTGTGACTACAATCAGGCTTTTTTTTTCGTTTGTCTCTGCGATTGCCAGAGCTATCTCGGAGACATCTGTTTTGCTTTTTGTTATTCACTGAGAAAGGGACACACATTGCAGTATATAGAAACTGAAGACAACCATCAACTTAAGCACTCTAGCAACATTTAAACGCACAGAAAGCGAGAGATCGATAGAAATTGCAAAGCAAAGACAAAAATTGTCAGGGCCATTCCTGCCGGATAAAGCGAGCTTCGTACCACTGATCGTAAGATAGATTGCTCGTGTATGTACTTGGTCACTTTAACATGATGTGCATACCCAAGTATAACGCAATTAGGCGTTGAAGAATGCGCGTCGGAGTGCTTGCCTCAAACTCGATGTCATGCGATGCTCGCTTGCATTTGAACTACAACACAACGAAATAACTGAAACAACTTTTGCGTTGTACCCGCAGTTCGCTTTGATGAGCTTTGCGACTTTCGGAAGCGGACGTTGGATTGGACAGAGAAAGCTTTCCATGTCCCGAATTGTTCAAGAAATCGTGCCTTCAAGACTTACGAAGCGGAGGGCCCGATGCACGTTCGCTTGCGAATGGCTCTCTTTCCCCTATCCATTTATTGCCGGCGTGTTGATGGGGGCACTAGTGGCAGCGCTTTTTCGCAGCGCCGCCTGGACAGAGTCTGACGTACATGTGCCATCACTCTCAATACTATCGCTTCCTTCGAAGGGATTCACATGGCAATAGTCTGTCCTGCTTCGGAGAATGCAGGGCAAGAACACGCCTTACTTTCTTTTTTGCTGAAACGTGGGTGGCACACACCACCGTGGCAGGTTTTCCTTCTCCAAAGAGAACTGTCGGGCTGATCCAACACCAGTGTTGGGAGTGCCCTGTATCAAACCCACCTAGGCTTCGTACCATGGCCACCATAAAACAGGGGACACCTGGCCTCTCTCCGCCTGGAGCCTTCGCCCCCAGAACGTACCATCGAGTTCTGGTGAGCCTCATCTGACCCTACACCAAACCGCGCCACCGGTCAGCGACCGAGCCCGCGACAGCTACAAGGTTCAAGCTATTCAAGCGGCCCCA